TTCATGGCGAACGGCCAGTGTTGTGTTGGGATGGCCGACTGCTTCATTAGGGCCCTCATTCTGGTGGCGAGGCTCCTGTTTGTCCGTTCTGCTACTCCTTGCTGCTCGTGAGCGTAGGGTAGGGACACCAGGTGTTCAATCCCTTTCTTCCGGAAGAGCTCCTTGAACTCGTCTGAGAAGAACTCCAGAGCTCTGTCTGTCTGCCAGCTTTTCAGCTTGAGTCCCGATTGTCGTTCAGCTCGCTTCATCCACGCGATGAAGCACTAGAAGGCAAATGACCTGCACTCGGTGTTGATAGCCTAGACGTAGCGAGTACTCATTTCGATGAAGGTCAGCGTGTAGTATTCGCCATCGAGTCCTTCCCGCGTCAGGCACATGAAGTCGCTGTAGACCTTATCGAGCGGTTTGTAGCGTTCGTAACCGGGCGGTAAGTCAGGGAAGGGCTTGTGAGCGAGCGACGCGGTGGGACACACTGTGCAGGACGGGTCGTCGGAGTTTGCGGTAAGGAATCCTTCGCGTGGAAGGAGTAGTGCTTCGTTGTCGAGGACGCCAGCCCGCAGAGAGTTCTTGAGTGTTGTGTGAGAGGGATGCCCGAGCCGCTGATGCCAGATTTCTAGTCCCGCACGGTAACCGACCGTTTTCTGATAATATTTGTGTCTTGCTGCTTCGCCGTTTGCCTTCCCTTCAGGTCCTGCATCGGCGGCGTCGTCAGCGTCGGCGGCGAACGCGCGAATAGACTTTCGTTCCAGAAGCGCGTATGGAATACCGATGATGTCGTCAGTGTCACCGGCATCGACTTAGTCTTCGGTAACAAGCAGGCACTGATTGGGCCAGTCGCGGACTGGGAGTCCCTTCATGGGAATGCGATAGTAACTGAACTCGCTCCCGATGACCTCGATTTCTTGTGGTCCTTGTTTTGGCGGCTCCGGTACCTCGGTAGGTCATGGTAGTTCAGTTGCTTCTCCGAAGAGTTGAAATAGATAGTAATCGCCATGGAGGGGGGGAGCAGTGCAAGCTGTGCGTCAGTGCAGGCAGCGCGGTAGCTAGAATCCAGTGAACGCAGGTGAGCGATCAAGGCAGCAGAGTGCTCAAACGAGGCGAGGTCAGGAAATAGGAAGGGGAGGAATAGGCGGCCGAGAGAGACAGTGGTGGGAGTAGCGTAGCAAGCCTTAATCGCTGTCATGAACTCACTAGTCGTGCGAACCTAGGTGAAGTGGGTCTCCTCAGACTCAGAGAGGAGGCTGTTGAGGGCGATGCAGGCCGCTGACGTCTAGGCCTCCAGGCGTCCAGGCCTCCAGGCTGTTGAGGGCGATGGAGGTCGCGAGACCTTCAGGCTGTCACCACAGCACGCTGACGTGCAACACGATCTCTGTCCGCAGTGGTGGTGGCAGCGCCTAAGGAATCAGGATCAGGGGGCGCACGGAGGTCACCAGAAGCGTACGTTCACGGAGACTCGTCTGCCTGAACCTGTCTCTCTAGGAGACGCTACGCACGCAGGAGCCAAACATAGAACTCGAGCGGCCTACCCTCGCCGTCAAATCAGAGGACTCTGGTCGTCGCCTAGTGGAAGCGTGGAGAAATGGCAGGTGAAAACTGCCTAGAAGGCCGAAGTAGTGTGTGGCAAGCAGTGCGTGACGTGACGAGAAGAGAGGGATGTGACAGGACGGGCACAGCGCAATGAGAAGGACAGGCGTGGCACGACTGGGAGGCACGACGCGATGGGACGGGACGGGCGGACGCAACGCAACGCGACGGGACGGACAGGCGCGACGCGACGGACGGACGGGACGGGACGATACGGGACGGGACGGACGGGCGCGACGGACGCGACGTGACGGACGGACGGGACGCGACGGACGGACGGGACGGACGGGATGGGACGGGATGGTACGGGACGGGACAGACGGGACAGACGGGGCGGATGGGATGGACGGGACGGACGTGATACGATGGACAGACATGACGGACGGGATGGGATGGGACGAACGCGACGGACGCGACACGATGGATGGACGGGACGGACGGACGGGACAGACGGGACGAGACGGGACGGACGCGACGCGTCCGGCAGGTGCGATAGGACGGGACGGGACGGGACGGGCAGGCGCGACACGGCGTAACGGGATAGACGAGCGTGACGCTACGGGCAGGTGCTACGGGCGCTAGGGAACGAGATGAACTGGCGCGACAGTGCTTGGGGACGGTACGGGCGCTCCGGGTGCTAGGGTACGGGAGGAACGAGATCCCACTGGATCCTAACCTAGGTAATACCAATGTCAGAAACCAAATGGATGATGGACTATTGTGGGTTGGGGAACATAAACCTAACCATATATGCTGTACCCCATATGACACGCATCACTAAAGGCTACAACATTTGACAAACAAGGACTATAACATGGGGTGGTACAACATGCAGGATTAGCAACCAGCACCTACAACAGCACCCCGGGCGTGAGTCCACCGCCATGGGGTAGCCCATGCCGAGGCCAAGCACCAGTAACACCAATGCCAGGAAAAAATCATCTACTCTGCCAAAATCCATAGCAGGCGCCCAACCATCCAGTGTAACACGGATGCGGCAGTCAGTATTAAATCGAGCGGGGCCTGCCGGGCAAATAACGACAGCTGCCTCACCGCAGTAGGCCCAGGGCCCGAGGCAATGTCGGGAGAGCCCATCTCTAAGCCGAGGTGCTGAAACGACTGCAGCATCTCGAAGGCGGCTCCAACAACAACTTCATGCTCCTCGTGCGACAACCCCAGACAAGCAATGTGGCGATGCATCAAACACGAATGTAGCTGGTCCAGATTCGATGCCAGCTGGTCCAGGCACGACACCACGGTCACAACGCGCTGTTTGTCGCGGAGGAGTCACTCCACAGGCGGATTCTCTTCCCACAGGCCCCACTACTCGTCCGGCGGATTCTCTCCACAGAATCAGCAGAAGGAACCTGAGTTCCCAAAGCCTCCCAGGGGATCGGAATGCGCCACCCACCAAGGTATAGATGAGGGTACTCGTGCACCTGCTGAAGAGAAGGAGGCGACTGCTGAGAGGGGGGAGGCAATGGTTGATGCTGTTGTACCAGCAGTTGATCTGACTGCAGCGGAGAGTGTTCGGGGAGGGGAAGGGGAGGAACAAGAGCAGGCGGAGGAGGATCTGACGAGCACAGAGACGGACCGGACACAGTTGGGGGGTAGACCGGAGATGGAGCGAGTGGTAGGGGTGCCTGCGGAGGTGGGAGCGGCGTCTACGGTGGAACGGCATGAGGAGGAGGGAGGGGTGGACGGAACGACTGACGCTGGGTGCGCAGAAACGACTATTGCTGACGAGTGCGAAAATGCAACAAGCATAGCATATCTTCGCCCGTCTTAAATACAATTCCATCGAGCATACGTAAAGGACGTGAACTGTTGCGTGGAATTTGCTTTGAGAATGTTCCTAATTGCCATAAACCAACACCGATGCCAAAACCTAACGCATTACAGAAAGATTACTTCCATATTAATTCATCTCATCAACTCCGTAAGTGCAAGAAATATATTATGCACGATATATATCATTGTGAGTTGGTATATTTTCTAGATGCTTCAAAGTTCCCTTTTAGGGTACATTCCGCTCAGGACATGTCACAAAAGAAAGGGTCACAAATGTATTAGTGATTAATTGTGAGATCCGAAATCACATTCGTGACTAATTGTGTATGGCCGAAAATCATGAATAGCAAGATTCCAACCATTCCCGGAAAGACATCTAGCTAGATCGTGACTGGTCTTGGCTCGAAGCATCACAATTTGTCACGGTTTTTTTATCAATGTATCACAATTAGTCCCGAACATTGTTTTAGGAGCATTACAATTAGTCACAAATACGATTGTGACACTTTCTTTTGTGACATGTCCTGAGCCGAATGTACCTTTAGATGCACTCCTTGTCACTCTCTAGCTTCTTCTTTGCACCTTTCTCCACTACTTCGTCTTGAGATAGCAACTGTCGATTGAAGGGCAACTCCACATCCATCTCACTTCCCCCAACATCCTCCCTCCCCTCCCAACCCTCTCCTTGCAACTGCATTATCCTTCTCTCAATCAGCTGAATCCTCCACTCCCTCTGAAGCTGCTCTAACTCAAGCTCCACCCCTTGTTCTTCCTGTAACTTCTCCCTAGCGGCGACTATGTCATTTATTGTCCCTTTCAATCTTATTTCGCTTAAAGAGCCTACACTGAAAGATCCCACTCTATGGCCTGGCCTCACAGAACCTTCTGATTTCTCCAGCAAAGAGCTTGCGGAAGGCTCAATGCCAAGATATGTTGCCAAGCTTGCACTCGGGGTTTGCTGGGACCATGCCTGAGACGAAGGTCCGGCCAGGCCAGGTGGATATCTCGCTAGACTCGGTGAAGGTACTGCCATACCAGAAGGCTTCAATCCTGGAAAAGACACTTGGTTGCTTGCAACTGTAGCAGGATGAGGCGACTGGAGCTCTATTGTTCTTACTCCTTCTCTTTCTCCTCCTCCTCCTCCTCCTCCTCCTCCTCCTCCTCCTCCTCCTCCTCCTCCTCCTCCTCCTCCTCCTCCTCCTCCTCCTCCTCCTCCTCCTCCTCCTCTCTCTGCACCCACTAGCACCGGTGAAGACCGGTAATGATCTGCACTAGCAGCACCTACTCCAAGCCTCACACCAGAGCTGACACTGTATCCTGCTCCTGATGCTGTTCCTGCTGCAGCGCCAGCGTTAAATCCCGATCCAGCAGCAAATCCAGGTCCGGTCGCCAAACCAGAGCTGCCAGCTGCCAAACCAGCTTCCATTGCCGAGCCTAATCTGGCATGAGGGGACCGAGAATCACCACCAATCCCAGCAGCAGTTTCAACAACAGCACCAGACGCAGCAGCTGCTGCAGCAGCATCAGCGAAAGCAGAGGGGACAGCAGCATCAGCAGAAGAAGTCTCCATTCTGCCTGTCCTTCCAAATAAGTCTGCTCCTGGGAATGACCCTGCTTTGCCAGACCAACTGAAGGTAGAGTGACCTGTGAGGCTGAAAGGTGAACCTCCGGCAGCAACAGCACGGGGGAGCAAAGCAGCAGAGCCACTACCCGGGTCAGCAGAGCCACCCCTGAAGCCAGTAGTGGCAGGATAACCACCAGTAGCACCAGCAACTCCAGTGGAAGCAGCAGCAGTGAGGCTTGAAAAGGCCATTGCCTCATGGCTTAAACTATGCAGGGGGTGCATTGGTGAAGCACCAGCGCCACCAGGAGCACCAGCAGCACCAGCAGCAACACGAGAGAGTGATGCAGCAGCACCAGCAGCACCAGCAGCACGAGCAGCACGAGCATCACCAGCAGCACCAGCAGCACCAGCAGCACGAGCATCAGCAGCAGCATCAGCAACACCAGAGGAAGCAGCAGCCCTGATAGTGGAAAACGCCCTGGCATCGTGGCTGAAACTGAATAGTGGGTGCATACTTGAAGCACCAGCGCCATCAGCAGCAGCAGCAGCAGCAGCAGCAGCAGCAGCAGCAGCAGCACGAGGAAGCAAAGCAGCAGAACCAGCAGCACCAGAGTAAGCCGCAGCAGCAGCTGTGACACTGGAAAAGGCCTTGGCATCATGGCTGAAACTGAACAGTGGGTGCATAGGTGAAGCACCAGCACTACCTGTGCTAGCTGCACCAGCAAGAGCAGAGGCAGCTGGGCTGGAAAAGTCGATCCCATCATGGCTGAAACTGCGCGGCGGCTGCTTATGTGAGGCATCAGCACCACCAGCACTAGAGGCACCAGCAGCACTGGCACCATCCGCAGCAGCACCAGGAACCAACGAAACAGAGCCAGCACCAGAATCAGCAGCAGCAGCAGCAGCAGCAGCAGCAGTGGCAGCAAAACTACCAGCGGCACCAGCAGCACCGCCAACAGCAGCAGGATCAAGTGGTAACTGGAAACGGGTCCCAGGGAGTTGGTGCCGCATTCCCAGTGACTCTGCTGCAGTCAGCAGCTTGGCTGCAGTCAGTGATTGCGCTGCAATCAACGATTGGGCTGCACTGAGTGATTGGGCTGCACTGAGTGATTGGGCTGCAGGCAGAGATTGTACTGCATGTGGTGAGAGCACCCCAGGTGGATCCGCCTGTGCGGCTGGGGACTGTGGTGCCACAGCTGCCTGCTGAACGGTCTCTGCCTCTCGATCTGCGGGCCAAGTGAGGGGGAAGGCGGGGAGAGAGGGTGTGAGCAAGGGAGGGGTGGTGAGAGCACCCCGGGTGGATCCGCCTGTGCGCACGGTTACTGGGTAATGAATCTCTGCCTCTCGATCTGCGGGGTCGTGTGAGGGGAGACAAGGAGAGAGTGTGTGCAAGGGAGACAAGGAGAGAGTGTGAGAAAGGGAGATAAGGAGAGGGTGTGAGCAAGGGAGACAAGGAGAGAGTGTGAGCAAGGGAGATAAGGAGAGGGTGTGAGGAAGGGAGACAAGGAGAGAGAGTGAGCAAGGGAGACAAGGAGAGAGTGCGAGCATGGGCAAGGTGGAGAGGAGTTAAATTGCACAGCAACGAAATGCAATACCATTCACAGGTGAGAGGGATGCATGCACGCACCCTAAGGAGCGGCATATAGAAGGAATGTATGCACGCATTTGCTTCTACAGGTGGACAGACCTTTGTCCACAAGTCTCAAAAACCCTCAAATGGAATGCTCTTGCACCAAGTTTTGGGGTTTACGGTTCTTGATCTGGTTTTCTCACCTCGCCTATGGGCGTTCATGTGGCCACCCAGGCCCTGCGGCTGGGCAAATCTCTTGCCGCAGAACCGACACGCATACAGCAGCACCTCTTCACACCCCGTTGAACCCCTCCGCAGCTCCAGCACCATCCAGGACACAGAAGAGGCTCTCGTTGCCCCTGATGCTGCAGACGCTGCTGCTTGTTGCCCCTCCTGCTGTCGCTGTCGCTGTTGCTGCTGCTGTTGCCGCTGTTGCTGCTGCTGCTGCTGCTGCTGCTGCTGCTGCTGCTGCTGCTGCTGCTGCTGCTGCTGCTGCTGCTGCTGCTGCTGCTGCTGCTGCTGCTGCTGCTGCTGCTGCTGCTGCTGCTTCTGCTGCTGCTGCTGTTGCTCCCCCTCCTCTTGCTTCTGCTGTAGAGGCGGTGGCTCCAGCTCCTGCTGTCGCTTCTCGTGCTGCAGCATTGCCACTGAAGTTTTCTTCTCTGCTGTAAATTGCAGTGCTGTGCCCGCCGCTGCTCCAGGAGACGTGAAAATGGTAGCAGCAACAGCAGCAGCTGCGGCAGCAGTGGCGGTAGCAGCAGTTGTGGCTGAGGAAGCAGCAGCAGGGGCACTGACAGTGGGTCTGTTGCCTGAAGCCGCAGAGACAGAGGCAGACAGAGACGCAGCAAGGGAAGAGGTAGAAGCTGCAGAAGCAGACGAGGAAGAGGAATCAGGCGAAGCAGAAGGAACCGAACGCGACGCAAACAGGGAGAAACTAGCATAACCAGGAGCGTCAGCAAGAGCAGCAGAGGGTAGTCTCTCCTCGTACGGGTGGTGCCTTTGCTGCTTTCGCCTCATTCTCACTGGAGAAACTGCAGGGGCTCGAAAACCTCCTGCTGTCACAATCTCTGCTGTCACGTCTCGTATAATCACATCCTCTGCTGCCATATCTCCGCTGCTCTCTTTTGCTGTTTCCATATCCGAGGTTGTCAAATTCCCTGCCGTCAAACCATTGTAATCTGCAGCAGCCTCTGATCCTGCTGTTGCTCCTATCAGCTGCATTGCAAGCATTGCCCCTGTGACTGCCCCTTCTGACCCACCAGCCACTGCTGCAACTTCTGGGGACAGTAACATTCCATCATTAGGTAATGTAGCGATTGAATCAGGAGGTATGGCGGCTGTGATTGGGGTACTAGCAACTGAATCAAGAGACATGGCAACTGGTCTATGAAAGACCTTAGAAGCATGTGTATGAGATAGGGAGAGAGAAGGACCAGTGGTGCTGCTGGTTTTAAGAGGACTTTTGAGATTGCCGGTGCTGCTGGGACTGCTGGTTGTTCTGGGGTAGGTATAGCGGCTGGTGTGGCTGCTGGCAACAGTTCCTGGCGTTCTCCTTGCTTCTGCCCATTGCTGCCTTCCTTGCTCTGACGTATCCGCTGCTGCTGCTGCTGCTTTGCCTCCTGCTGCGTCTCCTGCTGCGGCTCCTGCTGCGGCTGCCGCTGCACCTGTCCTTCGTCCTTGAAACTTGGAAGCAGTGGGAGCAGCGGAAGCAGCAGCAGAAGCAGCAGCAGAAGAAGCTGCGGGTCCTGTTTTCCAGCTGGGCGGGATCGTCCATGGATCTACCATGCGAGGCATCTGATTAGAGGGGAAGGAAATCAGAGAAAAGGTGGGAGCGACTCCCTGCGAGGGCTGAGGAGTAGGACCAGGTGGTGAGGGATTGGGGGGAGTGGAGTATGGGACGGCTGTATGTTGTTGTGGATCAGCAGTAGGACCACCGGCAGCAGTAGATCCTTGATGTATAATCATGAGGTCGTGGTTGTGATGTGATGGGAGTGGGTTCGGCCCAGCACCAGCAGCAGCGGTAGCAGCAGCAGAAGCAGGACGAGGAGGAGCAGCAGCACCAGCGGCAGCAGCAGCAGTGGTGGGAATACGATGCGTGTTGAACCATGATGAATCCATGGCAAAGCTCGTCGCCATGTCCCCCCCCACTAACGCTTGGCCCAGCAACGCTTGGTCCAGTAACGCTTGGTTCAGCAAGGCTTGGTTTAACAAGCTCTGGTTAAGCATGCCGTGATCCAGCATCCCTTGGCCCATGAATGCTTGATCCGCCAAGGCTTGATGCAGCAATAATTGGTCAATCAGTGCTCGATCTAGCGACGCTGGATCCACCAATGACTGATCCAGGAGTGATTGGTCCAACATGCCTTGATCCAGCGAGCCTTGATTCAGCATTCCGTGATTCAGCATGCCTCCGTCAAGCAATTCTTGGTCCAGGGTCACGAGTGCAGGGTCGACAGATGTCTGATCGACCAATGCAGGGTCGGGCAAAGTAGGGCTGGCCAATGCAGGGTCGGGCAAAGTAGGGCTGGCCAATGCAGGGTCGGCCAAAGCAGGGTCAGCCAATGCAGGGCCAGCCAATGCAGGATCAACCAATGCAGGGCGAACCAATGCTGGGTCAACCATTGCTGTGTCAACCAATGCTGGGTCAACCAATTGCGAATCTACCAAAGGCGGATCGACCAGAGCCAAGCCAGACAATGCCTGAGCGTCCAATGCAGGGTCCAAGACCATCGCCTCCCGCCTCCCCATTCCATCCTCCTGTTCGTCTCCGGCTTGAGACGAAAGTGCTTGCTCCAGTGTCAAGCCTTCCTTTTCCATGTTCAGACCTTCGGCAGTCGACCTCCCCTCCTCACGGCATTGATAGTCACTTCTGCCAGTACAAAATTGCGTGGAACATGTTCCAGTCACGCCGAATTCAACTCAGCTTTTTCGTCCACCAAATTTTGCAGATTCACATGACTCATGATTTGATCCTCCCAAGGCCGATCCTTTCAGTGACAGAAACGTCTGGTTGGGAGTTGCTTGGTGACCTCTTGCTGGTGTCTGAGTCATGCAACCCAACTGTCCATTCTCCGCCTCAAACCTCCATTGTCAGACGTCAGCTTCAGCTTTTCCGTCTCAGCTCTCCATCTTGGAAGCAGGAGACTCAGCACGTAAGGATCATGAGAGAGCCTTACTTTCAAGTAGAGGCCACTGGCTCTCTGAGGGTTAAGTTCTTGGTCTCAGTCGTAGTAAGCACGTGACTTAGGAGTCACGAAAGTAGCAGTAGCGGGCTTCAAACTTGAACTGAAAGTTGCTCAAACAGGTTGCTTTCCAACCCAGGTTGCAAACAGAAAGTTTCACTATGAAAATCTGATACAATGAGGAAAACAGAACATGCAATTTAAGCAATCCGAAATCCGAATTTCAAAGTGCGCCTCGCGTAACGCGCCTCGTCGCGAATCCGAATTTCGTAACAGTAACCGACGTTGAAAAACCGTAATTCAAACTGAACCGTCGGTGAAACCGACTTTCTTCAATTCCACCGAACGCCGCCTCCAGAAAGGTTGGGAAAATTCTGGCGGTCCAGAACGTTCTCCCTTCTCTTCCTCCTGAAACCCTCGTTTTTACCAGCTCTTCCTCAGGCTCTCACACCTAACTTCTCCCGCCGTCAGAAACTCAATTTCAAGCCTATTCTTTCCACCGCCATAGGTAAGGCATTTTCCAGGCATCCCTTTTGTCGTTTTTTCGCTCTTAAAGTCGGTGCAGCGGCGAAACCACTTCTAACAATCTCCCCTGTGGTTTGCTGCTGCTAACCCTAGATCTGAAAATCTTCATCACTGTTCTTGCACCTTGCTCCCCTGTAAGTCCTGCAGGTTCCGCATCCCGACGAGATACTTGCAGCGCTCGAAATTAGCCTTCGGAAGGTTCTTAGTAAGGAAATCGGCTGCTTGATCTTCTGTTCGTACGAACTCAAAGGTGAATGCTTTTTTCTCCAGCTGTTCACGCACCCAATGGTATTTGATGTCCATGTGCTTTGTACGTCCGTGCCAGTTGTCGTTTTTCGCCAATGCTATGGCCGATATGCTGTCCGATCTGATGGTAGTTGGTCCTGCAATGTGTATCCCCATTTCTTGCATCAAACGCCGAAGCCATACTCCTTCTTGACAGGCGTAGAATAACGCCATGTATTCAGCTTCCGCGCTCGAGAGTGCAATGTCGTTTAGCTTCTTTGCTTGCCAAGTGATTGCTGTCCCGCCCAGGAGAAAGACGTATCCATAAGCTCCCTTCCGGTCCTTCTTGTCTGATGCATGAGATGCATCAGCATATCCGATTAGCTCCATTGTTTCTTCTCCGCCTTCGTAGAGTAGCCCCTCTTCTCCCCGTTGCTGCAGATAAGCGATTGTGCGCTGCATCTCCTTCCACTTGCGGCCTTCTGGCTGTAGCACGTTCTGCCCCAAGAAGCTGGCAGCATGTGCGACGTCTACCCGCGTACAAGAGACGGGGTACATCACCGATCCGACGCGTGACTGGTAAGCCTTCACTGCTCGCTCCTTGCTGCCCCATTGGATGAGTTCTTCTTCAGGATCGATTTCCTTCTCCGAGAGGCTGCTGAGCGGAGTTGTCATGGCCTTGGTGCAGTCTGGTGTCCCAAATCGTTCTTGCAGCCGTTGAATGTACTTCTTTTGATAAAGTAGCAGCTTCCTGCCTTCTCGGTCCCGCTCCAGGTTCATGCCCAGGAACAACGTGGCTCGCGGGATCTGCTTCACTTGAAAAACGGCTGCAAGGTGAGCACACACCTCCTCAACTCTGTCCTCCAATGCTCCCGCCACTAGGATGTCGTCGACGTAGAGTAGGAGGTAGACTTTCTCCTTTCCTTCCCCTTTCCAGTAAAGTGCTCTGTCGCACTGACTTTTCTGGAATCCTCCTTCGAGCAGGCGTGCATCCATAGCCTTGTACCACTCTCTAGGGCTTTGTTTCAGCCCATAGAGCGCTTTCAACAGCTTGCATTTTCTGTCAGTTCCGTCCTCCATTCCTGTAGGCTGATCCATGTAGATGTCTTCTCGAAGTTCGCCATAGAGGAAAGCGTTCTTGATGTCAAGTTGAACCATGATGTAGTTGCGTGCTGCAACTATCTTGAAGAGTGTCCTTGCTGTAGTCAACTTGCTGACTGGTGCATATGTCTCCGTGTAGTCGATCCCCTCCACTTGCGTGTAGCCTTTGGCCACCAGCCGCGCCTTGAACCTCTCCAGCTGCCCCATGTCACCTGTTTTTATCTTAAAAATCCACTTGACGCCAACGGCGTGCCTCCCTTCGGGCATTTGGACGAGTTTCCAAGTGCCTCTTTCCGCGAGAGTGTCCAACTCCTCTTGTATAGCCGCTTTCCACTGCTCCTTGTTCGGTCCAGAAAGTGCCTCCTCGATGGTCAAGGGTTCTTGTGGCAGGTGGTAAGTCTCTCTCCTTTCCTTGGTAATCAACGCGGTTGCCGTCGAGGTGAGGAGGAGGTGAGTGTGCACGTCTTTCCAGCATGTCATCAAGAGCTGTTGGTATCTCGGATTCGGCTTCTTCGTCCGCATCCCTCTTCCCAGCTCCTCTCCTTTCACCGAAGCATCACTTGCACACGTGCCTGCTTCCATCTCCCCTGATTTCTCCGTGCTCGTGCC